ATACCCAAATACATCAGGTATGTTTCCTGTCAATGTTAGAGGACAAAACGAAGGTGTAAAGAAACAACTTATGATATCATTCATACGTGACATATCGACTATCTAACATTAGCTTTTTGTTCTTTCTGCCTTTAGGTGATTGATCGAGTCGAGAAAAGTCTCAGTCTTCTAGAAGAGAAAGAGAAGAAAAGTATGGAGATTCAGATGAACACCCTCGTCCCTGGAGTCAAGCGAAGACCACCATTGTCCAAGCGAGCCGTTCAGCTGATGGAGGGCTGGTATCAGTCCAATCTGCACCATCCCTATCCTTCTGCTATCGTATATAAATCTCTCGCTGTTGCTGGTAACGTCACCGTGGAGCAAGTCAAGAAGTGGTTCGGCAACAAACGCAACAGAAACAGCAACACCAGGACAAGATCCGAAATCGCCAAGAGGAAATTCCGTAATCGTCATGGGATTCAGGAGTATCATATCCTCAGGGCTCTTGAGTGTGGTTACTAAATATGTTATTTAACCTATATCTTCGTATATCTACCCATGTGCTGTGTATGATGCTATTATAGTGCTATATCTGTTTGAGTGAATGGTGTATTATGTGTTGTTAATTGTAACATGTGCTTCTTGTGTGAAAGTGTTAATTGCATGTAATACGTGACAGAGTGCTTATTTGTTATGTTTGCTCAAATAATAAACCAGTATCACATCACACATGACTTGTTCTTGATTTAACCACGCAACAACGTCTATGCATTGAAGATAAATAATCATATACACCTGACGTTCGAAGACCTATCGTGAAAGGAACATTATTTGAACTTTTTTGGCCTCCATGCTTCCCGCGAACCAAGGGTTCATGTATTACCCAGATATCATGTCAGAAAATCGTAATACACATTTGAAATGGTTATGTAACATGCATGATACGATTCATGTATGGCACTTCAGTCCATCATGGGAACACAATGACATCATGTTCGTTTTTCACCCTGCACGCTTCTCCTTGGTGTGCATAATATGAAATACAGGCGTGCAATTATAAAGTTTCATGTCCTTATCTATACATGTACTTGAACGCAATTATAAAGTTTCATGTCCTTATCTATACATGTACTAGAACACACACATTAACGACCACATGAAAACCAAGTGCAATTTAAGAACAACTATGAGTTTACAGACTGCTTTCACTTTGTCATATCAGCATACGCACACGACATCAAATAAGTTCGGATTCTTCGAAGACGCTATAACACAAGTTTATTATTGTATTTCTTTGGGGGTTTCTATCTAAATATTAGTTGTGTCCTCACTGTCCCCTGTACAGACTAAACTAGTATCCAGTATACATCGATATTCCTTCATATTCGACTTCCAATCAATGTATCAAATAAAAGATGTTACTTACTTACTTACTTTGGAGATTTAACGTGCGCTTTCCGACTGATGCGTATTTCGCACACGGGCCCGGCCAGGCCATTTAATGTGTTTCCGAAAGGGGCGAAGGTGGTCTGTGCAACCCAAGAGGGGGGTTTTAGGGGTTGCTTATATAGAATTTGGGAATTTTGAGATTTGGAATAGATGCCGATGGGATTGGGGAGGAGAACTAAGGGAGCTGGGTATGGTGGATGTTTGTTTGTTTATGTGATTTTGATTTGGTGAGTTATTGTGTTTTTAGATGCGTTTTATAAGATCCGTTTTCATTAAGAATACGCCTAAGGCCTTGAAGTTTTCTAGTTTATTTTGTGGGTTTAGTATTGCTTCTAGAGTTAGAGCCTTGTTTAGATTGAGGGTGGTTTGTAATGCGGTTCGATGTGTTAGGTAGTGTGTGCAGTGGATGAGTGCGTGTTCTGGGGTTTCTGGTTGTTTGCAGTGTGGGCAGTTACCTGTAGTGTGTTTTTTAATTTTTTTTAGGTGGTTATTTAGGTTGGTGTGTCCTGTTTGGAGTTTAGTGATTACTCTGTCGATTTTTTTGGATGGATGGAGAATTTTTGGTTTGGTTAGTGGTTTGCTGAGCAACAGAAACAGCAACACCAGGACAAGATCCGAAATCGCCAAGAGGAAAGTCCGTAATCGTCATGGGATTCAGGAGTATCATATCCTCAGGGCTCTTGAGTGTGGTTACTAAATATGTTATTTAACCTATATCTTCGTATATCTACCCATGTGCTGTGTATGATGCTATAATAGTGCTATATCTGTTTGAGTGAATGGTGTATTATGTGTTGTTAATTGTAACATGTGCTTCTTGTGTGAAAGTGTTAATTGCATGTAATACGTGACAGAGTGCTTATTTGTTATGTTTGCTCAAATAATAAACCAGTATCACATCACACATGACTTGTTCTTGATATAACCACGCAACAACGTCTATGCATTGAAGATAAATAATCATATACACCTGACGTTCGAAGACCTATCGTGAAAGGAACATTATTTGAACTTTTTTGGCCTCCATGCTTCCCGCGAACCAAGGATTCATGTATTACCCAGATATCATGTCAGAAAATCGTAATACACATTTGAAATGGTTATGTAACATGCATGATACGATTCATGTATGGCACTTCAGTCCATCATGGGAACACAATGACATCATGTTCGTTTTTCACCCTGCACGCTTCTCCTTGGTGTGCATAATATGAAATACAGGCGTGCAATTATAAAGTTTCATGTCCTTATCTATACATGTACTTGAACGCAATTATAAAGTTTCATGTCCTTATCTATACATGTACTAGAACACACACATTAACGACCACATGAAAACCAAGTGCAATTTAAGAACAACTATGAGTTTACAGACTGCTTTCACTTTGTCATATCAGCATACGCACACGACATCAAATAAGTTCGGATTCTTCGAAGACGCTATAACACAAGTTTATTATTGTATTTCTTTGGGGGTTTCTATCTAAATATTAGTTGTGTCCTCACTGTCCCCTGTACAGACTAAACTAGTATCCAGTATACATCGATATTCCTTCATATTCGACTTCCAATCAATGTATCAAATAAAAGATGTTACTTACTTACTTACTTTGGAGATTTAACGTGCGCTTTCCGACTGATGCGTATTTCGCACACGGGCCCGGCCAGGCCATTTAATGTGTTTCCGAAAGGGGCGAAGGTGGTCTGTGCAACCCAAGAGGGGGGTTTTAGGGGTTGCTTATATAGAATTTGGGAATTTTGAGATTTGGAATAGATGCCGATGGGATTGGGGAGGAGAACTAAGGGAGCTGGGTATGGTGGATGTTTGTTTGTTTATGTGATTTTGATTTGGTGAGTTATTGTGTTTTTAGATGCGTTTTATAAGATCCGTTTTGATTAAGAATACGCCTAAGGCCTTGAAGTTTTCTAGTTTATTTTGTGGGTTTAGTATTGCTTCTAGAGTTAGAGCCTTGTTTAGATTGAGGGTGGTTTGTAATGCGGTTCGATGTGTTAGGTAGTGTGTGCAGTGGATGAGTGCGTGTTCTGGGGTTTCTGGTTGTTTGCAGTGTGGGCAGTTACCTGTAGTGTGTTTTTTAATTTTTTTTAGGTGGTTATTTAGGTTGGTGTGTCCTGTTTGGAGTTTAGTGATTACTCTGTCGATTTTTTTGGATGGATGGAGAATTTTTGGTTTGGTTAGTGGTTTGCTGAGCAACAGAAACAGCAACACCAGGACAAGATCCGAAATCGCCAAGAGGAAAGTCCGTAATCGTCATGGGATTCAGGAGTATCATATCCTCAGGGCTCTTGAGTGTGGTTACTAAATATGTTATTTAACCTATATCTTCGTATATCTACCCATGTGCTGTGTATGATGCTATAATAGTGCTATATCTGTTTGAGTGAATGGTGTATTATGTGTTGTTAATTGTAACATGTGCTTCTTGTGTGAAAGTGTTAATTGCATGTAATACGTGACAGAGTGCTTATTTGTTATGTTTGCTCAAATAATAAACCAGTATCACATCACACATGACTTGTTCTTGATATAACCACGCAACAACGTCTATGCATTGAAGATAAATAATCATATACACCTGACGTTCGAAGACCTATCGTGAAAGGAACATTATTTGAACTTTTTTGGCCTCCATGCTTCCCGCGAACCAAGGATTCATGTATTACCCAGATATCATGTCAGAAAATCGTAATACACATTTGAAATGGTTATGTAACATGCATGATACGATTCATGTATGGCACTTCAGTCCATCATGGGAACACAATGACATCATGTTCGTTTTTCACCCTGCACGCTTCTCCTTGGTGTGCATAATATGAAATACAGGCGTGCAATTATAAAGTTTCATGTCCTTATCTATACATGTACTTGAACGCAATTATAAAGTTTCATGTCCTTATCTATACATGTACTAGAACACACACATTAACGACCACATGATACAATGAAAACCAAGTGCAATTTAAGAACAACTATGAGTTTACAGACTGCTTTCACTTTGTCATATCAGCATACGCACACGACATCGAATAAGTTCAGATTCTTCGAAGACGCTATAACACAAGTTTATTATTGTATTTCTTTGGGGGTTTCTATCTAAATATTAGTTGTGTCCTCACTGTCCCCTGTACAGACTAAACTAGTATCCAGTATACATCGATATTCCTTCATATTCGACTTCCAATCAATGTATCAAATAAAAGATGTGGTTGGATGAGAGCTAAGTGTGAACCAAACTCAAATACACAGAGCTTGAGTTGTGTGATTAGAGTTCAAAGGTAAGCACTCGAAGTGAGTATGTTTTGACAAGAAGCGGACTCTTTCACAAAAACGGAGCGTCGGGTCCGTTTATCAATCAGTAAGGAAAGGATTAATTAACTTTCGTATTCTGTAATGGCTATTCTAGGTGATGCATGTAAAGATGTGTTGATAGGTGATTTCTTCTCACCTGACATGGTATATATGGACGCGGTTGTTTTCCACAACAGACATCATTCACTCTCAGTATTCATCAATCCATACCAGTGAATAAAGTGACAACGGAACATTAAAGATGGCTGGCATCGATCTGTCGTATACTCCCTGCTTTTTGGAAGATGATATATTCACCTTCGAGACATGTGATCGTAGTGAAATTCAAATCCTAGGTATGGTATTTCTATTAATTATTCTATTAAGTGTGTGATATTTTAATTTCAAAGAGGAATCATTACCGTAATCTCCATATGTTGTTGAAATAATGAACTATCATTTCTTTATGTTTCAGATACAACACAAGACTGTGACATCACAGCTGGCGTATCCGAGTCTGAATTCCAGGATTCCCTCAACGCCCTCTTCAAGACCATTGAAGAACACTGTGATGATGAGCCTGATAATACATCTATGTCCGCAGATTTGGATATAACACAAGCATCTCCTCCTCCCTTGACTTCTCTTCGTGCAGCTTGCAATGGAGAAACAGAACTACGCAAGACATGTATTCCTTCACCATCACCGTTACCCAGCCTTGACCCAACCGAAACCCTTTGCTTCAGTCCAGCACCCACAGAGTCCACTGTTGCAGTCAACCCATTGTTGGACAAGGACCTCCGAGGTGTCTTGGTTTCCGAGTGCAAGCAGACCAACTTTCCAAGTATGCTCTTTCAGTCCATGTTGCCAGGAAACCAGTTACCACTGACAACCAGAGAGTGTGAACTATTGAAAAGGTAGAGTGCAATTCAAATATCTATTCTTAAAGTGTGTTTATTCTTCATTGTGTCAGTGTTATACGGTATTTGAAAAGAGACGACGAACGTGTGTGTTGTATAGATGATGACTAAATGAAATGAGCGTACGACTCTGTAAAGATAATGTGTGTAATATTTGTTTTCATCTTCTTTTAGATTCCACCATCTAGAGAGGTTCTATGCAGACCAGGTGCGAGAGCTTTCTACGTTGTTTCGTTTCCATGCGTCCAGTATCGAGATGAGGAGGATGGAGGTGATGGCTGATACCAGCCTGACATGCCATTACCGAGACTGGCTGAGTCATCATTTTGATACCCAAATACATCAGGTATGTTTCCTGTCAATGTTAGAGGACAAAACGAAGGTGTAAAGAAACAACTTATGATATCATTCATACGTGACATATCGACTATCTAACATTAGCTTTTTGTTCTTTCTGCCTTTAGGTGATTGATCGAGTCGAGAAAAGTCTCAGTCTTCTAGAAGAGAAAGAGAAGAAAAGTATGGAGATTCAGATGAACACCCTCGTCCCTGGAGTCAAGCGAAGACCACCATTGTCCAAGCGAGCCGTTCAGCTGATGGAGGGCTGGTATCAGTCCAATCTGCACCATCCCTATCCTTCTGCTATCGTATATAAATCTCTCGCTGTTGCTGGTAACGTCACCGTGGAGCAAGTCAAGAAGTGGTTCGGCAACAAACGCAACAGAAACAGCAACACCAGGACAAGATCCGAAATCGCCAAGAGGAAATTCCGTAATCGTCATGGGATTCAGGAGTATCATATCCTCAGGGCTCTTGAGTGTGGTTACTAAATATGTTATTTAACCTATATCTTCGTATATCTACCCATGTGCTGTGTATGATGCTATTATAGTGCTATATCTGTTTGAGTGAATGGTGTATTATGTGTTGTTAATTGTAACATGTGCTTCTTGTGTGAAAGTGTTAATTGCATGTAATACGTGACAGAGTGCTTATTTGTTATGTTTGCTCAAATAATAAACCAGTATCACATCACACATGACTTGTTCTTGATTTAACCACGCAACAACGTCTATGCATTGAAGATAAATAATCATATACACCTGACGTTCGAAGACCTATCGTGAAAGGAACATTATTTGAACTTTTTTGGCCTCCATGCTTCCCGCGAACCAAGGGTTCATGTATTACCCAGATATCATGTCAGAAAATCGTAATACACATTTGAAATGGTTATGTAACATGCATGATACGATTCATGTATGGCACTTCAGTCCATCATGGGAACACAATGACATCATGTTCGTTTTTCACCCTGCACGCTTCTCCTTGGTGTGCATAATATGAAATACAGGCGTGCAATTATAAAGTTTCATGTCCTTATCTATACATGTACTTGAACGCAATTATAAAGTTTCATGTCCTTATCTATACATGTACTAGAACACACACATTAACGACCACATGAAAACCAAGTGCAATTTAAGAACAACTATGAGTTTACAGACTGCTTTCACTTTGTCATATCAGCATACGCACACGACATCAAATAAGTTCGGATTCTTCGAAGACGCTATAACACAAGTTTATTATTGTATTTCTTTGGGGGTTTCTATCTAAATATTAGTTGTGTCCTCACTGTCCCCTGTACAGACTAAACTAGTATCCAGTATACATCGATATTCCTTCATATTCGACTTCCAATCAATGTATCAAATAAAAGATGTTACTTACTTACTTACTTTGGAGATTTAACGTGCGCTTTCCGACTGATGCGTATTTCGCACACGGGCCCGGCCAGGCCATTTAATGTGTTTCCGAAAGGGGCGAAGGTGGTCTGTGCAACCCAAGAGGGGGGTTTTAGGGGTTGCTTATATAGAATTTGGGAATTTTGAGATTTGGAATAGATGCCGATGGGATTGGGGAGGAGAACTAAGGGAGCTGGGTATGGTGGATGTTTGTTTGTTTATGTGATTTTGATTTGGTGAGTTATTGTGTTTTTAGATGCGTTTTATAAGATCCGTTTTGATTAAGAATACGCCTAAGGCCTTGAAGTTTTCTAGTTTATTTTGTGGGTTTAGTATTGCTTCTAGAGTTAGAGCCTTGTTTAGATTGAGGGTGGTTTGTAATGCGGTTCGATGTGTTAGGTAGTGTGTGCAGTGGATGAGTGCGTGTTCTGGGGTTTCTGGTTGTTTGCAGTGTGGGCAGTTACCTGTAGTGTGTTTTTTAATTTTTTTTAGGTGGTTATTTAGGTTGGTGTGTCCTGTTTGGAGTTTAGTGATTACTCTGTCGATTTTTTTGGATGGATGGAGAATTTTTGGTTTGGTTAGTGGTTTGCTGAGCAACAGAAACAGCAACACCAGGACAAGATCCGAAATCGCCAAGAGGAAATTCCGTAATCGTCATGGGATTCAGGAGTATCATATCCTCAGGGCTCTTGAGTGTGGTTACTAAATATGTTATTTAACCTATATCTTCGTATATCTACCCATGTGCTGTGTATGATGCTATAATAGTGCTATATCTGTTTGAGTGAATGGTGTATTATGTGTTGTTAATTGTAACATGTGCTTCTTGTGTGAAAGTGTTAATTGCATGTAATACGTGACAGAGTGCTTATTTGTTATGTTTGCTCAAATAATAAACCAGTATCACATCACACATGACTTGTTCTTGATTTAACCACGCAACAACGTCTATGCATTGAAGATAAATAATCATATACACCTGACGTTCGAAGACCTATCGTGAAAGGAACATTATTTGAACTTTTTTGGCCTCCATGCTTCCCGCGAACCAAGGGTTCATGTATTACCCAGATATCATGTCAGAAAATCGTAATACACATTTGAAATGGTTATGTAACATGCATGATACGATTCATGTATGGCACTTCAGTCCATCATGGGAACACAATGACATCATGTTCGTTTTTCACCCTGCACGCTTCTCCTTGGTGTGCATAATATGAAATACAGGCGTGCAATTATAAAGTTTCATGTCCTTATCTATACATGTACTTGAACGCAATTATAAAGTTTCATGTCCTTATCTATACATGTACTAGAACACACACATTAACGACCACATGAAAACCAAGTGCAATTTAAGAACAACTATGAGTTTACAGACTGCTTTCACTTTGTCATATCAGCATACGCACACGACATCAAATAAGTTCGGATTCTTCGAAGACGCTATAACACAAGTTTATTATTGTATTTCTTTGGGGGTTTCTATCTAAATATTAGTTGTGTCCTCACTGTCCCCTGTACAGACTAAACTAGTATCCAGTATACATCGATATTCCTTCATATTCGACTTCCAATCAATGTATCAAATAAAAGATGTTACTTACTTACTTACTTTGGAGATTTAACGTGCGCTTTCCGACTGATGCGTATTTCGCACACGGGCCCGGCCAGGCCATTTAATGTGTTTCCGAAAGGGGCGAAGGTGGTCTGTGCAACCCAAGAGGGGGGTTTTAGGGGTTGCTTATATAGAATTTGGGAATTTTGAGATTTGGAATAGATGCCGATGGGATTGGGGAGGAGAACTAAGGGAGCTGGGTATGGTGGATGTTTGTTTGTTTATGTGATTTTGATTTGGTGAGTTATTGTGTTTTTAGATGCGTTTTATAAGATCCGTTTTGATTAAGAATACGCCTAAGGCCTTGAAGTTTTCTAGTTTATTTTGTGGGTTTAGTATTGCTTCTAGAGTTAGAGCCTTGTTTAGATTGAGGGTGGTTTGTAATGCGGTTCGATGTGTTAGGTAGTGTGTGCAGTGGATGAGTGCGTGTTCTGGGGTTTCTGGTTGTTTGCAGTGTGGGCAGTTACCTGTAGTGTGTTTTTTAATTTTTTTTAGGTGGTTATTTAGGTTGGTGTGTCCTGTTTGGAGTTTAGTGATTACTCTGTCGATTTTTTTGGATGGATGGAGAATTTTTGGTTTGGTTAGTGGTTTGCTGAGCACTTTTTTGATTTGGCTATTTGAGTTTAGATATAGGTTATGCCATTTTTTGGTGATTTTTTGCTTGTTTACACTTTTAATTTCTGATTTTGAGATGGGTAAGTTTAAGCTTATTTCTGGGATTTTGAGGGATAGTTTAGCTGCTTTATCGGCGTTTTCATTACCGTATATTCCTACGTGGGCGGGTATCCACAAGAAGGTTATTTGTTTGCCTGCCTTAGTTAGGTCGTTGGAGCTTTTAAGTATTTGATTTATTAATTTAGGTCGGTTTTTGGTATTTTTGTTTTGGAGGGCTTGCAGTCCACTTAGGGAGTCGGTAAGTATTAGGATTTTTTTGTGGTTTTTGGATTCTTGATTATGGAGGGCTGAGGCCATGCCCATTAGTTCTGCCGTGAATATTGATTGGTTGTTTGGGAGTCGGAAGGATTGTGTGGTTTTAGTTGGTTGTGTGGTATGGACTCCGAAACCTGTGTGTTTGGAGGTCGGATCTGAGGATCCGTCCGTGTAAATGTGACACCAATTTGGCCAATTTTCATGTATGTATGCTAGTGTGGTAGTTTTAGCTATGTTTGGGTCGGTTTGTTTATTTATTTGGCTAGCTAGTGTTGTGTCTATTTTGGGTATTTTAAGTTTAGGGGTGAAGATATTTGATTGTTTGCAGTTTTGTTTAAGATTTTTAATTTGGTGTTCATTTAGGTAGTTTGTTATTCTTTGGGATATTGGGGTAAGTAAGGGGTGTTTACGAGCTAGAGCTTGGTTTTTGGGGCTGATGTTTTGGTTTATTAAGTTTTGGATGAGAGGGTTTGATTTGGACGCGGCCCAGAAATTTAAGCTTAGCTGTTCCCTGCGTAGACTTAGTGGCATTTCTCCTGTTAAGGCCTGAAGTGAGGTGTAGGAGGTGCCATGTTGGGTGCGTGTAATTAGTTTGAGAGTCTGATATTGTATTGAGTCAAGTTTTTTAGATAGAGAGTTGTTTAGGGTGTTGTATATGGCGCAGCCGTAGTCTAGTTTTGATCTAATTAGTGATATGTAGAGAGAGAGGAGGGTATCTTTGGATGCTCCCCAGTTAGAGCCAGTTAGGCATCTTAGGGTGTTTAGGTCTTTACTGCATTTAGTTGTTAGGTTTTGGATGTGAGCATCCCAGGTGAGATGTTCATCGAAAATAAGTCCTAAGAATTTGGTTTGTTTTTGAAATTTGATTGTTTGATTGTTTAGCTGCAGGATTGGGGAGGCGGGTTTCATGTTTTTATGTTTGAATACTATTCCTGTTGTTTTTTCTGAGTTAAGGGAGAAGCCCCATTTGTCAGCCCACTGTTGTATTTTATTAAGAGATTTTTGGAGTAAATTTTGGACCATGTTCATGCTTTTAGTGCGGATCCAGATGGCTCCATCATCCGCGAATTTTGATGTGTTTACTTTAGGGGATAGGCCCTCGAATAGATCGTTTATCATTATATTGAAGAGATTGGGGCTGAGAATACTGCCCTGTGGAGTACCATTTTCTAGGGGACATTGGTCCGATAGAGTTTGGTCTATACCCACGGTTATTTTACGATTGTTTAGGAAGTCCTGGATGTAGTTTATTATCTGACCTTTGAGTCCTATTTTTTTAAGTTTTTGTATTAGCCCATCGTGCCATACCATGTCGAAAGCTTTAGAGAAGTCTAAGAAGATGCCTGTGGTATATTGTTTATTTAGCTGTCCTGTCTTAATATCTTGTTCTAGTCGGGTGAGGTTATCTAGGGTTGAGCGGCCAGGAGTGAAACCGCTTTGATCTGGGTTTATGATGTTATTTTGGGTTAAGTAATGTTGTAATCTATTTTTAGCCATTGATTCCATTACTTTACATAAGTTTGAAGTTAGG